GTATTTGACTCGATCGGTTTTTATAATGTGAGCATTGGGCACAATAAATTTCCCTCCTAAGACTGCTTTCACTGCGTCCCATAGGTTCTGGTGTGTGGGACCAGCATTATTGTTTGATTCTAGGGGTTGTTTTTCCTTCTGGATTTCTTCTGTGACCCACTGAATGTTCAGAGTGTGTTACCAAATGTCAAGATGTTTGTAAAATTTCTGTGGTTTCTTTCGTGATTAACGTCCACTTTCAGTACACTACAACCTGACAGTGTCATGTTGGGTAAGGGTAGATTTTATCTATCAGGGGTTCGTAATTTATACCAGTAAAGAATCAGAAATACAAGTTTAATAGGAGAAACAGGGTCGGGGATATAGCTCAGTGGTGCAAGCGCCTGCCTGGCAAGTGCCAGGTTGAGAGTTTGATTCCTGGTACAAAAAGAAAAAGGAGAAACAGAAATCACTTTATTGGAAAGAGGAGGAAAATGAAACAGCAGCTACCTTGTCAGAATAAGATAGGGAGCCTGGAGCCAGTGCTCCAAGTATCTGTGCTTAGCCCCTGTTGTTACAGGGCGAGGAGGGACCTCCCCCTTGAGGGTCATTATAGCTTCCTCGGCTATTTTAGGCTTTGAGAACCTGGATTCAGCCACTGTCACTTTCCACTGCCTATGTGCAAATTCTTGGGTAAGCTTTTTTTGGTCTTCTTTGTTTTGGCAAGGTGATATCTTTGAGATTTACAGCACAGCCTTGTATTCAAGGCCAAGTTAGCAATTAGTAAAGGTCGGGAGAATAACTCAGCAGCATAGCACCTGCCTGGCAAGCTCAAAGTCCTGAGTTTGATTTCTGGTACAAAAACAAAACAAAACAAAAAACTGCTAGCCGTTAGTAAAGGGATACATATACATTTTAGGGCAGTAATATGGTAAGAGAATGTGTGTGTTTATTTCTAGGTGTGTGAGTGTCTGCGTGTGAGCATGCATTCATAGGCTAAGTGCATTTTATGTAACATGGCCCCTCTCCGCTCCCTCTCCCTTACTTAACTGGAGGCAGAGGGGAGGAATTGGGGCACGGACCCCCAAAGTGAGCCAGGTGCTATCAGCGCCCCTGCCTTCTAACTGCTCCCCCCAGCAGGGTTTACCTCTTTTAGTCAGGGTTTGCCAGAAACCTCACTAAGGCCCTCGTCTTTGCCCACCTGTCCCCCAACTTCCCTACACTAGTACACGGGATAATTTTGATAATCGTGTATTTATTCACCAGGCTTTATGGACTCGGAGAGGTCTATTTTGGAGAAAGTTCCATGTGGCTGAGAAGGTGTATCCTTTCATAGTAGGGTACACTCTACTCTAGATATTTACAAAGTTCTTTTGTTTGAAGGTGTGGTTCAGCTGGTATTTTGCTCTTAAGTTTTTATTCAGTTTATTTATGGAAGTGGGGCACCGAAGTTCCCTCTACAATTGCGTGGTGTGCATTGGACCTTCTACGCCCTTCAGTGCCTGCTATGGGGAGGATGCCCTGGCATTGGTGCATAGATACCTACAACTGTTACGTCTTCCTGCTGGACTGTTGCCTCAACCAACACCTAGTGACCTCCTTTGCCTGTCCGATCAATTTAGCTTGAAGTTTATTTTGTCTGAGATTAAAATTGCTATCTCTGCTTGCTTCCAGAGTCCTGCTGTTTTCTGTCCTTTGATTTTTGGTCTATGGGTTTCTTTCTGGATTCAATGTGGCTCTTGAATGCAAAGGGCTGTTACTAAGTTTCTGACCCAGTCTGCTGATCTGTATCTTGTAACTGGGAAATTGAGACCATTTACATCGAGAGCTTCTACTGAAAGGTATGGACTTATTTCTGTCCCTGCATTTTCTGTGGTCAACTCCTTTATCTTTCCCTTTTTGTTTAACTACTCAGTTTGCTTGATATATTCATTCTACCTGACTTTTTAGGTTTGTTGGCTTTGTTGTCTCTAAGATATTCTTGAGTATTTTTTAGAGTGCTCATCTGATGTTCATGTATCTCTGTTTGTTTTTTCTTCTGGTACCAGGAATCGAACTCATGACCTTGTGCTTGCCAAGCAGGCGCTTTGCCGCTGAGCTAAATCCCCAGCCCCCAGTTCAAGTATCTCTTAATGTGTCATTGTGAAGTGTCCTTACCGACCTATCTGTCAAATATGGTGAGAATGTGTGTGTGTGTGTGTGTGTGTGTGTGTGTGTGTGTGTTTATATCTGGATGTGTGCGTGTCTGGATATGAGCATATATTCATATGCTAAATATATAAGAATATGCACTCTCAACTATTTGAAAGATAGTTTTGCAGGGTATATTAGTCAGGGATGAAGTACTTCAAGTTCTCCTGGCCTTTAAAATTTGTGTTGAAAGGTCTGCTATCGTCCTACTAGGGTTACATTTATAAGTGATTGTTTCTTCTGACAGCTTTTAAAATTCTGTCATTGTGTTCAGCCTCAAGGATGTTGACTGTGATGTGCTGAGAAGCTTTTCATGGTAGATATCTGGCATTCTGTAAGCTGCACTTAGCTGTACACTCAATCATTGTCCCGTAGTTGTTTTCTGCTATATCTGTGAACAGATTTTTTAAACTCCATGTGTGTGTCCTCTAGTTTCTAACTCCAGATAGCTTTAGTTAATCTTCTTTTTGTCATTTCATAGCTGTTGGATGAAACTTTCTGTGTCTCTTCTCATTCCAGGCTTCTTTGTGTAAATTATAATGTTTTCTTTTTGTCCTTGACTCTTGAAATCCTATCTTCATGTCACTCAATTCTGCTGTTTACGAATTCAATAGATTTTCCTAATCGCTGGCATTTCTGTTCTGTGTGTTTTATTTCTCAGTGACTCTGCTGCTCACGTTTTGAAGGCTTTGGTCAGCTCTTTCGTTTTTACTGGTTTCTCGTCTGACAGCTCCACTGTCTTCTGGGTTTGGCCCACATGGCCCTTGCTGAGTTTGTTTCTTTAGTCACCTCACTCGGCGTGGTTCGCTCCTCTCCGGTAGAGCCCTGTGGGTCTGCTTGGGAAACTTTGGAGGGAGAGGTCACCAGAGGATCTTGCGCAGTGGTCACCCTGCTCCACCGCTCTGTTTTTGAAAAACTGGGGTCACATGAAAAAGGCCCTACACCATCAAAGGCTACGGGCACTTCTGCGGTACCTGACACCCACGCTCATACTCAGACTCTTCTGCTTGTCCCAGGTGGTCTTTTATAGCAACTTTTCCAGCTTGGTTTCCAATTCAGATCATGAATTGTGTTAGTTGTGCCTGTGCCATCCTTTCATCGGGAACAGTACCCTAAACTGTCTTTTCTGACACTGACATTTTCTACAGGGTAAGTACAACGTTTTCTAGTGTCTCCCTTTGCTACACTTATGACTCAGGTTTTGCATTCATGGCAGGAATAGTGCTGAAGTGATGTGTGTGCCTCTCGGCGCAGCACCCATGCAGAGGTGCTTGAGTCAGCTTGTCCCGCTTGGGGAAAGGTGTGCGTCATGTGTTCAGAGTACGCACCAGTCTGTCCGCCCAAGCGCCTCCCCTCTTCTGAGTTGGTGAGTGTTCTGCTGCCTATCAGGCTCTCACCTGTGGTTCTGTACCCACTGTGAGCTGAGCTGGGTAATGTGGCTGCCCGACGCTGGGCCTTTCTGGATGCCACGGCCTTCTTGCTCTACTGTTAGGAAGCACCTGGCATGCCTTTGGAGAGCTCCTCTGCACCATCGCCCTCCATGTGGAATGCCCCTGCTTGGCAAATCCTGCCCATCCTCCAAGCCCAGACCCAGGGCACCGGGCCTCAAAGCTTGCCCTGCCCCTACTGGGCAAATGCACCCACTTTTCCAGTCTTCCACTCCAGCGAGGTGGGTGGTACTGTCTGGACTCCCAGAGGGGGAGAGGTGGGCAGGGCTGGGCTGGGCTGGGCTGGGCTGGGCAGCCTGCCCACAGCAGATACCCCTGCTCTAGCTGGCCCAGTACAGTTCTCAAAGATTGCTGTGAAGAGAATCACGGGAAGGCCGTGTTTGTGCACCACCACCTCCAGAAGGTGGGGAGGTGTGGCCTGCTGTCTGGAGGCCCAGGTCACAAGAGTCCCCAACTTCCTTGTGTAGCTTCAGGGGATAGCCCTGGGGGACCAGGGAGCACTGGGCCTGCTCTGCAGAGACCACGAGTGTGCACCCCATTTCCCTGTGCTCCCCCTCGTCCCCGTGGGCCTCTCTGCTCCTCCGACAGTGGCACTCTCCCCCTTGGGCATTCTCGAGTCCTGCTCCGAGGCTGATCTGGAGCAGCCACTGCCCACTCTGTGCACGCTCAGCTCTGATCCGCTGCCCAGCTCTGTGGTCCTGCTCAGGCCCACACTGCACGATGACCGTCCCCTCCGGAGCGCAGGGCAGACCCCTCACGTCCCAGCTCCCAGCACACGAAGGATGCACACAGTGTGATTATTCCACTGCATCAGGGCACATCACCCCACTTCACAGATCTAAAAATGGAAGCAGACCAAGGGCGGTGGCTCGCCTGGTCACAGCCCTGCCAGCTGGCACTGGCGTCAGCTCTTCAGTGACATCTCCCACTGCCGTGCTGCCCACACCGTTGTCACCGTGAGGTCCTCTTGGTCTCACCTTCCCCACTGGTAGCTCCACTGTTCTCGGTTCTTCAGTCTCTTACACAGCTCCACAGAAGGCAACTGGGAAGGCATCCCGGGGACATGCACGGTGTCTCACCCCAGCGCTGTGACAGCACAGGGGAGAATTAACTCCACGACTCTCTGTGGGGACAGTGCCCAGGGAGCAGGTGTGCAGTGACAAGATGCATCGGAACAGCGTGCAGCCCTCGAAAGTGAGTCAGGTTCTGGATGGAAAGTTGTCTAAGGTGCGGTATTATGCTGAGAGAATGGGAGACAGCAGCAGTATAAAACCGTATGCCTTGTGTTCACTTACCCCAAAAGGCCAGATACTTTCAAATTTTATATAAAGAGATCCATGCCTTTGATGAAAAGATAGAAAGATACGTATCAGGACACCAGCGTTCCCATCATTTGGGCTTGTTTTATTGATATTCATTAGCGAATAAAATTTTATTGTTGCTTTTCGATGTATTTCAGCACTCTCGGTGGTGCTGCACAATGTTGATCATTTATGCACTTACTACACTAAATACTGCAACCTCTGCACTGTCGGTTTTTACAGTGGTATTTCTGGTGATGATGGGCGGTTCCTCTCTGATATGTAAAGTGGTCCATTCAGGCCATGGTCTCCATGTTCCTGTTACTCTACCTACTGCTTTAAGATACATTCAAATCCGAAGAGATAAGTTACTTGCAGTGGGGCACACGTATGTGGGCAGGGAGTCAGAACCCGCCGACACTCGCACGGGCAGAGTAGAAATAGTCTGAAACTGGGGGCCAGCGCTGGCCCTGGGGTGAGCTCTCGCAGTTCCCTTAGTGGATGTGTGTCCCTCATGTAGCTGAAGGACACATCTCTGCTGGCGGGGGGGGGGCACAAAATGACAATTTTATGGGTCTATGACTGGTCCTTCCCAAACCACCCAAAGCAGAGTGGCCCGAGGCACAGCAGCAGTGGGAAGAAATAAATAACCTGCGGGCAGGAACTGCAGACACACAGGTGGGGCTAAAAATGCGGCACACAAAGAATAAATAAAAGCGCGACAGCCAGAGACCGGGCTCCTTGTTGGCTCACGGTTCTTTCCACAGCACCTCTCACTCTTCCCAAGAACAGGAAGTGGCAGGGGGCGGAGCCTGGGGAGAACAGGCTCGCCCGGGAACAAGAGGCGGAACACAGAATGGCCGCACAGGGCTGTGAGCACCCAGGGCAGCCGCTTCAGAGCGGGGGCGGGCACTTGCCGCAAGGCCCTGGCCTGGCACACTACTATCTGGGTGTGGTTCTTGCCCTTTGCTGCCCTGCTGACGAGTGTCTAGACAGGCTTTCCTGCCACCTGCCACTAATGCTGCCCGGGTCTGGTCTCAAAGGTCCTGCTGCCACGCGGGCCTTAGGAACAAGCTGCTGTCTCCCTAGTGACTCGAGGGCTGGATGTCCCATAAGCCCAGAGAGACAGAGCTGCTAGTACCACAGCTTCCTTGTATGTAGGAACAGAAACGTCACATGGAAGAGGGCTGCGGAGCGGGTCTGCAGAGGGGACACACATTCTCTCTTGGGCCGGACATCGGCCTGACAGCTGAGCACGCAGCATAGACAGGCTTCAAGTTCAAGGCATGGAGAGCAAAACCCCAGCACGGAAAGAAGAGACCTTCCTTCAAGGCAGAGGAGGGCCTTGCAGGCGCCAGGCCGCTCACCAAAGACAGAAAAGCTCCCCATCCACCTGGAGAGGCCAGAGGCTCTTCACACTCTCACAGGAGGGCGCAGTGTCAGGGAGACCTGGCCCTGACAGCTCGTGGTGCGACACGAGCAGAGGGCACGGAATTGACAGGCTCCTATCCATAGGATAAGAACACCTTAGGAGTCTCAGTGCTTCTGGACAGGAAAGAGGAAGGAGGGACCCATGGTCCCCAGTTAGCACAGGTGACGTCCCCAGAAGGGACAGTAGTGCAGGGCACTTCCTGGGGGCTGCAGGACGGGCAGGGTGCACCCGGTCTCCATGTGCCACATGCCATCCCTGAGGCCGGGCAGAGAGGACAGGAAGGGGCAGTGCCTGGTGGGACACGCTGCTGTGCCCCTCACCTCAAGCCAGTCTGCGCAGGGAGCTTAGCACCCATCAAGACGCCCGGCGTGAGCGTCGCAGGCGCCTTCATCTGCATGCTGGAGCCCACCATGGCGGGCAAGCTTCGGTTCCTGCGGATGCCCACGGCGCTGGCGCCGGTGGGGGCCGGGCAGCCCAGTGGCAGGCCTTCAGAGACCAGGCCTCCAGGCACCCCGGGGGGCATGCAGAGCAGCGGGCCCTGCTCCTCAGTCAAGACGGGGCCATGGGCCCACCCCGAGCTCACTGCCCTGGCCACACCGAAGCGCCGGACCTTGTCCACGAGGTTGAGGTTGCCGACAGACACGTCGGTCTGGCTCCCGCTGCTGCGCACGCCCTTCTTCTCCCGCACCTCCCGCAAGATGGAGCTGGCCGGCTTGGACGCCAGGAAGGTGTCATAGGGTGGGCTGGTGCACTTGAACTCAAAGGTGGGTGGGGAGCTGGTGGGCGTCTGCAGAGGCGAGTTGGGTGGGGTGGAGGGGATCACTGTCATCCGGGGGGCATAGGTGTGCAGGAGGGAGCCCCGTGCCGCGCGGTCCCAGCTCTGGGGGTCGTACACAGCGGCCGAGATACCGCGCTCCTTCAGCAGCCACACGAGCCCCAGCGACGTGCTCATGGTGGTCGTGGAGTCGCGGGTGTTGGTGAAGGACTCGGCCAGACTCAGCCTCCGTGGAGTGCACGGTGTGGCCACCGACATGGACTTCAGGTGGCCAGTGCTGCCACAAGCTGGAGTCGGGGCTGAGTTAAGGCTGGAAGGGAAAGTGGCAGGTTACTCCTCAGGGACACCCCGGTGCCACAGCAGGGCCAGTGGCCCTGTCCTGTGGGGTGGCAGGGCAGGCTGGGGATGTGCAAGGCAATGCCCAAGAGCTTTGTCCATGGAGTCTCTCACACGGGCTACAGCCTGAGTTAGCAGAAGCTGCTTTGAATTCCCGGCCCCCTGTGGAGTGAGGGGCGTGACTGATCCTGCACGGAGGAAGAACCTGCCTCAGGCCCAGCATCACACCAGCCAGGAAGAGGGCAGCTCAGGTGGGCCCAAGCACTCGAGGATGTGGAGGAGGCCCATGGCAGAGGCTCCTCCCCATTTGCTCAGGGCCCAGCGGCTTCCTCAGGCCGTGAGGCCCAGCCAGGACTGTGGGGCACGGGGCTCAGCTCAGGAAGAGCCAAGGATGCAGGGTTGCGCCATGGCAGTGTGCACGTCACGCCTGCCCCTTGGTCCTGAGGCCCAGACCGCCCCTCCCCACTGCCTCCTGTCCCCTGGCCCCTTCACACGCTGTCCAAACTTATCCTGGTGCATGCAGCTCAGACCAGAGGACGACACTGCAGTGCCGGGCCCCACGCATGGAGCTGCCTAGGCCAAGGCCCACAGGGGACTGAGCGACATCCCTACCCCTCCTCTCTGTCCTGCTGCCTGAGGCCCCATGAGGCCTGCCAGCAGGGTCCAGCTGGGAGGCCACAGGCTCAGGGAGAGGCCCTGCCATGGCTGCAGAACTGCTGTGGGGCTTGGGTCTGCCTGGCCTCCAAGCCCACTGATGGAATGCCAGGTCCTAGTAACAGGCCAGCTGAGTAGCCCAAGAGCTGGGGACAGAGCCCTCTCCCCAAGCCCAGCCTCAGAGGACCAATGTGGAAGGGTCAAGGAGGACCCACCTCAGCCACGTCCCTGGGCTGACCAAAGGGCCCCTTTGGATAGAGACTGCCCAACAGCAAGTGCAGGCCTTGGGGACTCAGGGGCCTCTGCACGACACAGGGCAGCTCATACAAGGGCAGGAGGGTGCCAGAGCACTCGGGAGACACAGGGTTAGACATCATGGCAGAATCCAAGGAGAAGACAGACTTTGCAAAGGGCGTAAGTGAAGTCTGCAGGCATTACAGAAGGCCCAAACTTCTAGCCTCAGGTCTGGCTTGGGGGGCGTCCCTAGGGAGAGGCTCGGTTTTGCCCCACCTGCATTTCCTTCCTTACAACACAGGCTAGCAGGCTCCTCCAGCTTGGGACGAAGCCAGCAGCCTCCGGGTGAAGCCCCACTGCATGTGGCCCTGGCCCCGCAGCTGCAGCTGCAGCCACCTAACATGTGCTGCCTCTCACAACGGACCTTAAAACGCAGCTTCCAAACAGGATGGGAAGCCGGCTCCCCAACAGGAAGACAGCGACCTTGGTTAGGCCGTGGTTAGTGCCGGCGCCTGGCTGGCCCGGGGATTTAGATGGGTTAGGGTGTGGTGGCCAGGCCGAGTCAGCCAGCGCCACACAGAGACACGCGGAAGCCAGGCCCGTTAGTGGCGGCCACACGTGCACACAGATCCTCGCAGGGGCCTGGTGGGCAGCCCTGCACGCTCACCCCGCCCTGCCCACGGGCTCGGCTCTGCCCTACACCGCCTCTCGCCCAACCGGGCACAGGACGGCTCCGTCGTCCTCCTCCCACGACCTGCGGAGAAGTGTTCGCAGTTGAGGTGCACCCTTGGGAGCTGCCCCTGCTCCCCCCTCCTGCGTCTCCCTCCGTGGACCCCAGGAGCTTGCTCAACTGCACGGCAGAGGAAATGGCCGTGTTGGGGGCACCAGTCTCCCCTACACTGGGAGGGGCAGGAAGCAGCCACGACTGTTGGTGCCACATGGGCCTCTCTGGAGGGTACGCGTGAGGCTCCAGGCACCGGGCGGGGCCCTGAAGTCCTTGTGCCTGGGGCTGCTCCCTGGGGCTGTGCATGGCAGTCGGACAGCAATGACCCAGCTCCAGGCACAAGGACTTCCTGGAGCCCAGGCCTCTCCTGGCAGGAAATGCAGGTTTTCTCTGGGGTGCTCAGGGGCCTCTGGGAGAGCTGCTAAAGACGGGCTTCCGATCCAGCCCACAGCCAAGCCGTGGGCAAGGAAGATGGGCTGGCTCTCTCTGTCTGAGCAGGGGCTGAGTCAATAGGAGTTATGGTTCCAAAGAGGGGCCCAGAACAGGTGATGACAAACACTTGTGCTGTTCGTTCTCAAGCTGGCTAGAGCTGGCTCTTACTCATTTATTTTTGCGACTGAGTCTCACTTTGTAGTTCAGGCTGGTCTTGAACTTACATTGCCTAGGCGGGCCTGGACCTTGCAGCAATCCTCCTGCCTCAGCTTCCTGTGTGCTGGGATCACAGGTATGCACACCTACGCCCAGCTCTGGAGCTGGCTTTGCAGGAGCCTCTCATGTGGCGGTCCTCACCACGGGGCCTCGCAGGAAGGGGGTGTCCCATCCTTACCCACAGCTGCCCACCTGAGACCAACTCCCTTACCTTGGCGTGACCCGCGTGAGCTCGTCGGAGGGGTGCAGGATGCGGCAGGTAGTGAAGGTGAAGGTGGAGTTGGTCTGGGACATGCACTTCCCGGGGTGATTCGCTGCATCAGGGAACAAAACACAGTCCTTGCACCTGGGTATGCACGGTGCACATGGAACCAGTGGCCCTGAGCAGATGCAAGGTGTGGGGCAGCCTGCAAGCTGGGGCTGGAGGACAGGCACGCAGACGCTTGGGGAAAGGCGGCCCCTAGCCTGCAAGGCAGCACCTCCCTGCCTCCACCCAGCTACACAGGGTCCCTTGTCAGGTCCGGAGCCAGCAGTGGATCCAGTTCTGGGCAGATGGGCCATGAGGGGTGAATCCGGTTTTCCTCCTCATAGCTCAGAAATCTGCTTTCTCCTTTTGTGACTCTGTGTGTCTTTTCATGGACAGACAGGTGCCAAACTCTGCCCAGGACACGGAAGGCCACGTGGTGCCTGGCAGCAAGGTGGGGCTCTTGGACCTGGCTCCACTGCTGTCCCGTGACTGCTGCAGTGGGATGCAGTGACCTTAGCTGCCTGAACAACAGCACGGCAAGAGCTCCAGGGACCAAGACCAGCAGCCTTAGGCCGAGCTCAGAATGGTCTGGGCATACATAGTGAACAGCACCGGCCCCTCCCCAAGACCCCACCCCCACTTGGTGCGTCTCCACAAAGCCTGGGCTCTGGTGACAGCAGAGGTTGGCCCCACCATTTCTTCTAAGGCTCTGCCGAGCTGTTGTTGCTCAGCTGGCTGAGGGGTCTGCAGCAAAGGAAAGCGGGGTGTGAGCGCCACTGGAGAGAAAGCGGGTGGGGAGCCAGTCTACATCTACAGGAGACATCATGATTGCTGGGGTCACCATCATTCATAACTCAAGGTCAGGATGGAGAACCAAAAGGGGAAAAACAAAAAGATGCTGCACCAAGGGCATGCGCGGTGAGGGGCAAGCAACCTTCCCTCCCCGCCGCCCGCCACTCAGCCCCCAGAGACCTCGGGGGAAACAGACTGGGAATCAGAGCCCAGGCGCCTCCACGAGGCTGTGAGCTGGAACCTTACAGCTCCTACAGGTCATTTTCTCTTGGATTGGGACAAAAAAGAAAAAAGGCAAAAAAACGGAACAGATGGGGGCCACAGGACTACAGATTCACGCAGATGAGAAAAAAAACAAAAACAACACTGGAGACACACAAGCTGGAGGCAGGAAGGACAATGCCAGGCACAGGATGGCGAGGTGACTTGGGCAAGGTGAGGTGTTGGCACCGCGGTGTGTGAAGTGCTCCGACTGCCGCAGGCTCCCCGGGCTGGCAGCGGGCACCATGGCCCCAGAGCAAATGCTCAGCCACGGGGATCTCTGGGTGAGGGAGGAGGGAGAGAAAAAACAGAATCAGCCTCTTAAGTTTGTTTCTCCAGTGGTAAAGGTAATGACCCAAGAACTCAGGTAACTGAGAAACTGTTGCAAATGAAACAAAACTGGAAGACGCTATGAAGAGGAGACAGCCAAACAATCACAATTCTCTCTGCAGCTGAAGGCCCGCAGGGAGTAGCCCAAGGACAGTGCATGGAGGGAGGGTTATTTGGGAAGAAAGCAGGAGACAAATAACCAAGACAAAACAGGTGGAAGGGAGAGAGTGTTAAAAATCAAACAAGGCTGGATTTGAAATCAAAAGTGCACCCCAATTTCAACACATGGCCAGAGTATCAAATCAAGAGGTCCTGCACGTGCACCTCCTCCTGCACCCCATTAGGTTTCACACCTAATTGCAACGATCGTGTAAGAAGGTTCTAGAGACACAGTTGCATCCACAGAAGCAGAGCCCATCTTACACATAGGGGCTTTGGGGATAAGAAAAGGCTGCTAAAAATTCAGAAGCCACCAGGGCCCAGGAGCAATTGATAGCTTTAGGAGATCAAGAGGATCAATCAGAGCCCATAGCCCCAACATTAGAGGTTCAGCCAGCCCACAAAACACCAATGGGACACCTGGTTGCTCGAACACTCCTGTCACCGCGGGCTGCAGGGCCACCGCCGCACCTCCCCTCCTTGGGACACAACACAGAGAGGTGAGTGGCCTGGGGTGGGGTCTCTGGAGCCTCGCGCTCATCCTAGGATCTTCTTGGCAGGAAGTCGGGACGAGCGTTTCCCGTGGAAGTGCCCAGGACCACAGCACGCAGGGAGTCCCTGCCTGTCTGCACTGCGTGGTCTTGCTGGAAGGCGGTACTGTGTATTCACCTCACGCAGCTCTTTGGGAGGCATCAAGGACAGGTCCTCTGGGATCAATGCCCCAACTCCCTGCCAAAACCCTTATTCTCAGACTTGGCTGCATGAGGGCAACGGCAGACTACCCTGGATCGCAGCCAGAGCTAAGAAGCAACTGATGGGCCGGTGGGAATGGGCTAAAGCAGCACCGACCATCTCCTTGGGAATAAGCCCATCCTCAGTACGCTTAATTCTGACACTGGTGCAAACTCTGACGAGCTCATGGCTCCGTCCGGGCTGTGGGGTCTGTGAGCTCCAGGTGGCCCCTGCAGGGCTCTCTTCTGAACACACTCCACACATGCACACTCTGGAGCGGTGGCAGCTGGGCACACGCCAGGGAGAGTGCCTCTGCCCCAGCTCTCTGACGCCGCTCACAGCAGGCCACGTGGCAGGCAGTGCTGACCACCAGCCCTCCTCTGGGCCCACGACACCTGGCACTGGTGGGAAAACCGGCAGGTGGCACCCTGCTGTGGCAACAGCAGCAGGTGCCCAGTACAGCCCTGAGCCCACCAGTCAGGGTGGAGTGCTACAAAAACCAGGACCTTGCTGGGGCTTGGCCAGGACGCCCTGGGGCCCTGGGATCCATGGGAGCTGAAGGACAGTGGGACTCACACCCCGGGCTGGCCACATGGCGTAGTCTGGACCCACGGGCTTTGCACATCCTGCTCCCTGGTGCAGCCCTATTCCTCCCTCCTCTGAGAAGGGGAAACGTGGGAGGACAGGGGCTTTCTTCCTGTGAGAAAGCCGTCAGGAGCCCAGCCCTCACCGAGCCCCTCGTGGAGATGTACATGTACTGGGGATGGAGAATACCGCCATGCCGCGCACCCCGTTTAAACTCACGGAAATAACTTCTAAAAAAGGTCAAAAATTATTTCAAGTGCATCCCAAAATCTTGGAAGATGGGACCTATCTTTGCAGTGCACGGAGGGCTTTCTGTGTTTTCTTTGCTCTTCGCAGGCTTGTATGAAGTGAAGGAAATGATCTGAGCATTTATTTTCCTTTTCTTAACTAACACACGTAGCAAGAAGCACTGGCAGAAACTGGATTTGCTTTGTCTTTCTGCATACTCATTAACACACATGCACACTCACACACATAGACACCCCTCAACCCTCATTTGCTCACTCCCACGATACCAACAGTGACACCCAAGGCCCGGTCTTCTCTATTCAAGCAAAACCAAACCCACTGGTGACAAAGGCTGCTGTCAGGCCAGCTTACTATCACGGCAGGGACAAGGACGCAGCCCTATGAGTGCCAGCATGTGTTTTTATAGGGCCCAGCCGGTCCTGGCTTCAGAGCTTCTCTCATGAAAGTGCAGGGGAAGGATGGCTCCCTGCCTGTCAGGAACAGAAGAGACAGCTCCCTTTCTATGAGCCCAAAAAAGGCAAAAGCAACACTTGAGCATCCTTTCTGAGAGACTGAAATACCAGGGACAGAAAAAGGCTTAAAGACCTTCCTGTCACTCTGTTACGTAATGGTGCCCATGCGCCTCCCTGGCGAAAGTTCTGTTCACATCTGAGAAGCACCACATGTGCCCTGGAAGCTCACCAGTCGCAGGTGGGGGGCGAGGGTCAGTGTGGCTCTGATGGGCATGGCTGTCTGAGGACATGGCCACTGGTGTTTAAGGTGAGGCGAACACCTCGGTGTCTTCTTTTTGTAATGGAAGCTACCGTAAATTACCGAAGTACAAGATGACACTTCAGGCTCCTAACTCCTGGAACACGTGGGCCTGGGAACACTTCCTCTGCTTCTCTAGCATCTCTTGGACACAGCCTGGTCCGCTTGTGGCTCTGAGGGGGACCCAGACCTGGTGATCAGACATCTGGCCGGCAGCACTCTGCCGGGTTCCATCTTGGAGATTTTTGAACCACACCGCAGGACCTTTCTCTGGTTTCTATACAATTTATTTTTGGCTTTTGCAAAATTAAGCCTCCTCTTCACCCTGCACCAAGCCTCTGCCTCTCTGTTCTGTCTAAAAAGTGTGTGACTTAAGCGGTGAACGATTTCACAGCATCGCACGGAGAGGGGCTCGCCGCAGGCTGCTGTCTAGGAAGACTGAGGGTGCTGTTAAACTCTCACAGTGAAATGCAGGAGTCTCTAGGCTCCTCGGGTGCCAGCACAGCAGGGCCACGTCTGTTCCTGCGCAGATGCTCTGGGGCTCATGCCCACAGGCGGGCTGGCCTGGCTGGGCTGTAGAGCTCTGTCCTGCTGGTGCCTCAGAGACACTTCAGGGAGTACCTGTCTCACACAGGCTACAGCTCAGCTGCCAGCTGCGTGCTCCCAAGAGGACCCCACATGAAGAGTCAAGTGCAGCTCCCTGAGGGACCTTCTGTGGCTTTCCGAGGTGAAGACACCACAGAGAAATGGTTCTCCGTGAATGGTTTGGTCGTGGAGGTCTGCAGCAGGGCTGCCCCACACCAACTGCTTCGGAGGACAGGGTCCTCTTGTTCCTCATCAGCCCGCTTCTGGGCTACATGTGGTCAATGCAAGAGGATAGGGCTTCCCTGGCCCTCCTGACATGGAGGGGAGCCAGGCCTGGGTGATCACAACCAGCTGGCTGTCCCTGACTGCTGCCAGCCCTGCCGGGTGGACAGCACTCCCATCAGCGCAGGGACGGTAGAGGTCTGTGACCCACCATGCGGCCTCCTGCTCCCGGACCCGCAGGCCCCAGGCCAAACCCCACTCATAGCCCCCCGGACCTACTCCTTGGATGGGGGCAGCGGTGGTGTCTGTGGCAGGTGTCCCCACCTTTCCCACACTCCCCAGCTGCTCTCAACAGAACGTGGGTCTAAGTATCCAATCAGAATGCAACAGAAGCAGCTCGTTCTTCCCGGTTTTGCCTCTACTAGCCCAGGAGCTGGACGTGCAGGGTAATTTTCAGGCCTGATCTGACCACATGTGACTCTTCCTTCCCCACTGAGCAGGGTCTCAGTGTCCCTGCTGGGCGTCTCTGCCAGGTGTGATGCCTATCTGCTGGAGCTAGGTGCATCTCAATACAGTGACCTTTAAACTCTAGGATGCGGCTTCCTCCTGCCCTCTGCTCGGCTCCAGGTCTCCGCAATAATTCAGCTGAGCCGTCTGTCCGAGCAGCCAAGCACGGCTTTCCCAGCAGGACCGTAAGCCGCAAGCCTCTGCTGCACGCGGAAGCTAACATGCAGCACACGAACAGAGGCCTGTGTCTGACAACATGTGCTTTCTATGTGAATTAAAACATGAAACATGTCACTGAAATAAAGTAAAACTATAATTTAAAAACTGCTTTAAATAATCCATTTTTAATTGTCTAAATTATTTATAATACAGTAACATGGAATCATCTTTTTTAAAACATGGGATTTTAAAAATCATCAAATGATGCTTCAAGTAATACATAAAATATACTGATAATTTTTTTCAGTGCTCAAAATGTTCCCCACAGGACAGTAGGTTCTAGACAAAAGTACACAGCCTTCCCAATTTCCTCCCAGTTTTAAAAAAGAATAGGTGAATCACCTCACTTCAAAGTTTCTCCCTCAAAATCTTCCCAAGCAGCTGCTGGGATCGTGGGCCACAGAGCAGAGCCAGGAGCTGAGCAGTAGGACAGAGTACCAAGACAGAGGATGCCCTGCCCTCCCTAGGCTGCCTGGCTGCCTGGGACCCCACTCGGGGACCTGGGTGATTTATTTAGAGAATGAAGCGCTTCTCATGCCCAAGCATCTGGATGGTTCCACCACTTTCAAATCCTAAGCACCCCTCCCCCGTGTGGAGCTCTTAAGAAACCAGATCCATGCAAAAGGCCTCTCACGTCAGCAGTGTGGCCTTTCCTCCACCAGTTCAGAAGCCTGTGCAACCCTGTTCTCAGCACACACTGGTACACACCTCGCCCTCCTGTAGTCTGAGCTTCGAATGCGTGTGTGCTGCCCCTCAGATCCACAGCTGGGATGCGTTTGCTGCAGGTTTCCGCGAGGAGGGGACAGAAGAGGTCTAGGCTGTGGCCAGGAAAGCGTGGGCCAAGGGCTCACTGCCACTTGTCTTGCCCTCCATCCTCCGCGAGAGGGTCTCTGGCTGCCACCAGCTTCACCCATGCACAGCTCCCTGCAGTGCATCGAGTGAGCCCTATGCTTCGGGGCCCCCTTCCACCTACTGGGCCATCAGGAAGGCCTCACCCTTGACACCACTCTGCCCTCAGCTCTGTCCTGCCTGGCCTTCCTGGGCCGCTGCACCTTCACAGAGGAGAACTAGGGACCAGAGACGGAAGTCCTGATGACAGGAATGTCATGAAGGTGATGCCACTCAGTCACCCATCTAAGTCTGTCCTCTTGTCTCTCCCGTAAGACCTCACTGTGCTGGCTGGGGAGACAGTGGCCACAAGGGGAGTGACTCTGCAAGCTCCCATTCACACCTTGATGCCTGGGGCAGGGTGTCCCAGCTCCATGATGCATCTCTGTCCTCCTGGAAGAGCTCCGCGATGATCCCTTACAGCTTACCTGGCTAATCACTTTTTCAAAATCCACCCTGAACACATGTGTAAGTTAGAAAACAGCATCCGTGTCTTTGTTGGAGGCAGAAGGCCCACGGTGTCTGAACCCTGATCACTCTGTGGGCTTCTTTCCACATGAAGGCAGCATCCAGGTGACAGATCTTCCCATTCCCCTCAGGACAGTCCAGCACTGATCACTTTCCTAACATGCCTGCTGAGCTCCAACTGGTAATCACCAGCATCCCTCAGACACCAGGCAACCCCCAGAACAGCAAGTGGGCAATGACGCTGCGGGGGCCCTGCGCCTGCTCCTTTTTAGCAGCCTCTCCTGCTCCCACTGTAAGAGCCCTGCTGGGCCAGGCCAATTGGGCAGGGCTATGCCCAGGCACTGCACAGGGCACTGGGCTCCATGGTACACACAGCACTGCACAACAGGGATGCTCTCATCGTCACCCACACAGACGCGCAGAAGCCACACACAGAGAGCCACTACGGATCGTGCCGGGGACAGAGGTGAGAACGGCCCAGAAACGTGGGGCCGGGGCCGGGTTTGCGGGACCGATCGCGGCGGCCTCACCAGACCCCTCCTCCTCCGTGGGCTCGGGTGGCTCCTGCATCTCCTCGGGGGAGCTCCTGCTGCCTGGGACAGTCACACGTGCCTGGAACCTCTCACCTGAGGTCTCTGGGTGCTGCACTGGCGTGGAGGTAGCTAGGCCCGGGAGGGGAATGTGGTCACCTGTGTCGTCTTCCTCAAAGTCGTTAAGGCAGTACACTTCGTCCATGTCAACGTCCAGCGTCCGGAAGCCTTTGGTGACCACACCAGGCCGGGGGTCCAGGATGCCCCCAAGGTGAGGCTGGGCCAGTTGCTGCCAGTGGTGGAGGGTGGCAGAACCTGGCGGGAGGCAGGCACAGGGAGAGGAGTGGGTTAGCATAGAGGCCGAGACAAGCTGGTCACCACCCTAGCAGGCTCTGCCCTCCTCTTGGCTGTTCCCCAAGAGCCCAACTTGAGGAACCAACAGCTCCATTTTTAGGTAACGTGAACACCACAGCGTATGCCAAAGGTGTTTGGTTACAAAGCATTTTAAGCAACCCCAGAAATCAATACATCATCATTTTATAGATAGCAGAGCGGGAAACAGCCAAACAAGCACAGGGTGGGCACCAGCGCTGCAGATGCCAGAGCACAGACAGATGTGGGGGAGGAGGCGATGCCAGCCCCACCCAGAACCTTGCCAGGGACAGCAGAGCCCAGAAGGTGGCGGGTGTGACTGTCACCGCTTTCCCTTCAGTCTCTGTACCCGCCAGCAGCCCGGTGCTGCCTGTCGGGTGCAACCTAAGAACACGCAGAGTGGTCTAGAGCAAGGCACCAGCCTCCTGTGATACCAGACCCCAGGACTCGGAGGACGGTGCGTGGTCTGTCATAACACCAGAGCGTGTCCCTGAGGACACCAAAGTGTCTGGGAGCTGTTCTAGGGCCATTCGCACCTGGGAACCAGGCTCAGAGTGCATCTGCCTCTAGGACACTGAGGCGTCCCCCGCTTCCTCTGGCCATGGGAGCCAGGAGGCCCTGTCCCCCCAGGACACTCAGCCACACCTTACGTGACACCAGCAATGCCCAGTGGCTGGGAGTCACCCAACACAAAGCCACACACAACACCCTGCCCTCACGAGGGCACTGAGCATGCAGGAAGTGAGGATGGAAGCCTGTCCCTGGACCCCACTGAGATTACTCTCCACAGGACAGCCTCAAGCGGGGTCTGGGGAGGATTTCCAAGGGCGTTTCAAATCCACTTAGAAGGACAATGATGACGCGCTGAGGATCTGTGCTGAGAGTCTGTCAAGGCCCCTTCAGGGTCTGCCTGGTCCTCAGTACACAGAGATACAAAGCCTGGCTACCTTGCCCAGATCTACTGAATAGAAACAAACCCTAACGGGCACTGGCATGTAAGTGGATTTGCACCTGGAAGGACAGCTGGCCCAGTGGCTCTCGTTCGGGGACAAGTGCTCCACCTGGGAACAACCGCCAAAGCTGTCACAGCTGGGGGAGAGGAGGAGCTGAAGCCTCTGAGCATGAGGGACAGTGCCACCAGGGTTCCTGTCCACCGCACCACTGCTGGTGTCAAGACCGCCTATGTGGAGCCTGTAAAACGCTGCACACTTTCCCCACAGCACACCAACTCCTTCCACAAAATACCCTGTGCAAGTGCCATCACCTCACTCCACAGCAGGTCCCTGGGGCTGGGAAATTCCCCAGAGCCATTAATTAGCGGGGACGCAGCCAGGCTTGGGGGAGGCCAGCTTGGGCAGGAATCTGACACTGTGCCCCTCCAGATGCACAGGACAAGGACAGGGTAGGACATGTGTCCTGGCTGGGGATGTGCTAAACAGTCTTGTATCCTGCTGCACAAAGGACATCAACACTTTCCAGTGGGCATCTAGGCCCAGAAGGGAACCACATGTGCCTGCTGGAGTCACTGCCACCCCAGAAGCCCTGTGTGCTTACTGGCATCTGCACAGCACCAGGGAGGAGGCTCTGAGGAGCCATGGCTGTGCTCAGTTGGCACTATGCCCTGAGGACTTGGAGGTCAGCATGTCCACATCACTTGTACCCTGGAGGGTGGGAGGGGAGCCAGGGCTCGGGCGGGTGAGGAACCACAACAGGAACAGCTGCAAGAGGATGCGGAGGCCGGGCCCTGGCTAGAGCCCCCATCTGCGCCACAGGCTACCCTGTCTTAGCCCCTGTAGCGCAGAGAAGTATGGACCTGCTGTGCTCCCTGGAACTGCACAGCAAGAAAATCTGGTACGGACCTTCGGGATGACTACGTGGAGCGCGCAGCACTCACCACACCGCCTCACGGAGGACAGCGGCCACGCAGGCACTGACCACGCCCACATTCTCCTCAGAGTTCCGTGTACGCAGCTGCTGGACTTTCACACTAACCCTTCTGTCTCTGACTCACAGAGTGGGACACTGGCACAGGGAGGTGACTTCTCTGAGGTCATGGGGCTGTGCCCAGTTCCAGAACCATAGCTCTGCCTCTCAGCAGATGTGAGCCTCAGGGATCAGGACTGACACGCTGGACAGCTTCTTCATCCCCATGTGATGTCTGCTGTTCTGCAGGGTGGAGGGGCCACACCTATAATCCCAGCACTGACAGGCTGAGGCAGGAGGGTCAAGTTTCAACCCAGACTGGGCAATTTAGGGTTTTAATGACCTGCTCTGTTTTTTACCTAGACTGGTTCACCCCTCCTTAGGCAACTGGGGGGTCTCCTGCTCCTGGGAGGTCACCATATGATGCTGAACTTAGTGTGGACACCCAATCAACATAGCGCAGTACAGCCCAGAACTCCTGGACTCAAGCGATCCTCCCACCCCAGGCTCCCACCTACTGGGACTATAGGCACATGACATCACGCCTGGATAGTGTCTTAACGAGACCCTGTCTCAAAATCAGAAAAGGTTGGGGGTGTAGCTTAATGTGAAGGTCCTGGGTTCAATCCTCAGTGCCACCAAAGAAAAAAAAAAGTGCTTTGGTGAGAGTCATCTCAAATCCCATCTTGTGACTTGGCTATGCCAGGCTTAGGGGCTCACAGACTCTAACCCTAGCTGAGCCCAGGGTCCCCAGGCTCAGCTGAGCCCAGCCTCTGCACAGAACACCCCTCCTGCCCACCTCCTCCTCCTATCCCCATCTCTCCAGTTCCTCCTGGCCTCCTGGTCCATTCCAGTGCCTCACAGGAGAAGCCTGTGCTTCCCCTGCCACCCCTCCCCACCTGAGCCCGCCTGCTCCTCCCCACACACACGCACGGGAACATGCTGGGGACGGGTTGGGGTGGGAAGGACAGACACAATTCTGCAGAAATGGATGTAGGGACAGGGACAGCATAGTCTGGGCCACCATCTCCTTCCTCCCCCACCCCGTTTGCTCCCCCATGCTTCACTGCTCCAGCTAAAAGTGTTCACACCATCAAAGGAAAAGAAAACTAAGTCCACTCCTCCAGATTCCGCCAGAGGAGCACCAGGGCTTCAGTCTGGAGAAAGCCTGCAAGGCAATGCACCAAGCAGACTCGGACACTTTCTCCAGCTACACATTAATGTATTCACTGGAAACCCTAACTGGGTTATAATTAATTAGAAAAAAACAGCAAAATATAGGAGAACAAACAGCCTTGCCTCAGTCTCCTGACACAGGCATTTCCATAGTGTGAATGTGGTGTTTGTTCCGCTTCTGCCCCAGACCTGTAAGGGAAGCTGGGGAGAGCAGCGTGCTAGCGTTCTGGCTGACACAGTAAGCAGATGGCAGGGTGATTACGTGGGGAGAAGGAGATGGAGATGGAAGCCATCGACTGCCTGTGTGCTGTGATCCCAGCAACGTTCTCCAGGGCCCTTGCCCAGGTGCCTTTACCTGGCTGCTGGAGATCAAAGGAGTCGCACGGGTGTCTCAACAGGCCAGGGGCAAAGGACGATGTAAGAACATGGCCCAGCACATTGACAGTCTGGTTCTCAACACTGGGAACTTGGCCAGCTAGACCTGAGCTGCCAGGCCAGGGCAGAGTTTGATGCATGTGAGTTTCAATAAGCACCTGCTGGGAGCCGAGCACACAAAGTCTATCACATTTCATTCTCACCACAAGCTTGTCTGACACTGTGAGCCTACTTCACAGATAAAGGGAACAGCCCCAAGTGGGTAACTTATGCCACAGAGCAGTGACCATGACAACCTAGTGTTCACAACCCCTCAACATGCAGAGACAAAACAACTACGCAGGGGAGGAAGAAAGAAAATACTGGTCGGGTTTTAAACAGCTAAGATGCCAGAGAACTACAAAATGAGGCCAGAAGGATCTATATCGAGAGGATGTGTCGGAAGCTGCAGTGATAAGACATGACTTTTTAATGCTAGTGATTTAGCTTCCTTGGGAGCAGGGTACTAGAGATCAAATTCATCCTGTAAGTGGAATGGGAGCCCCTCTGCTTCTACTAATTCAGCACAGGAATACTGCCAGCTAAGTACAAAGTGAGAAGAAATAAAGATGAATTGGTCAAAATGAAGTTCAAGAACTTCAACCTGCAATGTGCTTGGAAAATGAGTATGAAACTGTATTCACAGATGACCTCATGAAACACAGTAAAATACAGAAAGCAGACAAGACAGAGATGATAAAGTCCAATGATCACTGACAGACAAAGGAAGAAAAAGAAAGGAAAGGCAGAAAGTAATCAGAAATGGGAGATTTTATTGAAAGAAAAAGACACAATCACAGATCAGAAAACAATTGCCAAACTTACAACTAAATAAACAATTAAAAAAGAATGAATCATGCCTTTTCCAAAATCTAGGAAGGATCTAAATTATGTAATTAAAAATAATCATGAAGACAGAAAAACAGCCCATCTTCTTCCTTCCTTTAGAATATGGAGTCTCCAAGAAGCCCACCTCACCTGACGACCCACCTTCTGGATGGGGAGAATGTAACACCTGGGAGGCAAACCAGGGTGCTCCCTGGGTACAAACCCCTGTGCTCCCCTCTTAGGCACGCAGCATTATGTGTATAATGTATGTTATACTCACAAGGCATAATAATGCACCTGTGGTGTCAATTTCAGGGTGGGCACATGATTGGGCCAAAGTGTCTGAGGCACTGCGTGGAGGGAAAACACTAACGACGCACTGCACTGGCTCATAGGGATTCTGATCTGGCTTTGCATCAGCAGCATCGTGCAGAGTCCTTAACTCCCAGGAGCTTCCAAACACAAGGCATAAAAAGGAAAACTACAAACACTCAGTGGCCCTCGGCAGATGAAACATTTTATAACCCCCAAAGCAAAAAAAGAGAAAACCAAAAGAAGAAAAGGTGTGTTTTCCAGGAGTCAGGTCATCTAGAGAGGTCATCTAGAGAGGCTCACCTGAAAGGTGAGCTGCCCCGGACCAGGCGTCAGGGGCACAGGCTCATGGGCTCCCAGCTCCACCCTGACCCCAAACTGTAGCACTGCCAGCAGCCCAGCCTGGAGCATCCCACTCTCCATGAGATCAAACCAGAACATGGCGCCCACGAATCACTTTCAGGAGCTCCTGCAAAGCCCTACAAAAGGGTCTGCTTGGCACGACCTCTAGACCCCAAGGTTTCTGAGGAGCCAGAGCTTTAATGCCCAATGGCTCTCAGACCCTCCAGAGACTGACTAATCATGGATTCTCCCGGCCACAGCTCTGCCTCTCCAGAGTGTGTTCTAAGGCACCAAGGGCAGGGAAAGAACTAGACAGCCATGCGCATCTTCCGTCTCCCGGGATCCGGCACCTGGGCTGGTGCTATGCTGCCTAGTGGAACTCAAACCAGCAGCGCGGGTGGCTGTCGCGGAAGAAGAAGGAGTAGGCATGGCTCAGGTGGCCTGCCTTCTGCAGGTGGATCAGGGACCACAGCGAGTCCCCGAGCAGGGCAGAGAGGGGCCGAGGGCCCTTGCGGTCACCTTCCAGTGGCTTCACAATCTGCAGCTTCTCCGGCAGGTAGGAGCGGCTGCTGAAGGACATGCCCGAGAAGCCGGTGAACTCTGAGAGGCGCGAGTGGGTGCCCAGGGACAAGATGCTCTCAGTGGGCGTGAGGGAGCCACTTCGTAGCTCGCCCTTCTCTGCCAGCTCCCGCAGCTTCCTCTCCTGCTCCTCCTCGAAGAACCTCCTCTCCGACAGGTAGTTCTCGCGGCGCAGGGACAGCCGCCTCAGCGCTGTCTCCAGGTCGTGGGTGCCCGGAGTGCCTGGCGTACCTGGCTTCTTCGTGAGCTCATCGGGCCTGGAGAAGAAAGGGGGATGAACGCTGGGCACAGGGTGCAAGGCTGCCAGACCAGGGCTGTGGGAGGCTCACACAGAGGGTTGAAAGGGTCAGCCCAGCCTGGGCAACTTAGCAAGACCTTATCGCAAACTGGAAAATAAAAAGGGCTGGAAATGTAGTTCAGGGCAAAGGTCCTGGGTTCAATCCTCAGTACCAAAAGAAAAAAAAAAAGAATGGAAATAGTAAATGTCTGCCCCAAAGGGCCCTGTCCCCTGTGGGTTTGAGTTGCTTGATTGGACTGGCACTGGACTGACATGAACCGTGAACACTGGGCAAGACTTGGCCCTGCATGGGTCACCCTGGACTGCAAGAAGGAATCCTTCTTGAGGGTGCAGCTCCGGGATCCAGGGCAGCTTTTCTTTCCTCTTGAGTTAAGGGCACTGCGATCTTAACTCTCACCAAAACCAGCTCTGATCACAGAGATTCCTCGATGTCTGACCCACCTGGCCCAGAAGAATCAGTTTCACGGTCAGAGGAGAGGCTGCACCAGAGACAGCATGGGCAGGTTCTGCAGGGCTTCAATGTGGAGAAGCCCACCCCCTGGGACGCCCGGCGACAGATGCTCACATGCTTGCTCTGAAGCAAAGCAGGCAGTGCCAGGGTTCTCCTGGCCTTTTTAGCATCCAAGCCACAGGGCGTGCACAAAGCAAGTGTCTGCGCCACAGCTGGACAGTGGGGGTCCATGGAAAGCAGGCGCCAGGCATCGAGGACAAGCTTGAGCTCAGTGGGCTACAGGCAGATGTGGACAAGTATAGTCTACATCCTTCAGGAGACACAGTCACTGCGCCTGCATCCAACCCACACTCCTCTCCCGGAAGAGCAAGGTGGCACTCACGTACCCCAGGTCAGCTGCCTCGGTTTCCAGGATGATGCTGTTGGTCTTGTTGTCCAGGACGATGTTGCCCACATCGCTGCCGTAGAAGCTGGACCGGGGGGTGCTGACACAGCTGGACAGCAGGGAGTTCATGGCCGAGGACTGGTTGGAGCCAGGGATGTTCATGGGTGAGGGGGTCAGCGACCTCTGCTTGACCACCTGGTTGATATTCCTCACAGTCTCAAAGACGCGCTTCTGGTGCCTGGGGTGCAAGCAGAGGCAGGAAGGAGCTGGGGCCAGGCCCTCCAGAAAGGGCCAACTGAGGGGCAAACAGGTGCCTGTCCCAGGATTCCCCAGGGAGCCTTGTCTGGGGTGACAGGCAAGGGCGCCTCCTTCACACTGCGAAGTCAGGAGACTGTGCCCACAGCCTAAGACACCAATGCCTGCCATATGCTCAGGTGACGCCTGCGAGACCCAGGGCCTGACCCACAAGTGCAGTGCTTATTTTATTACTCCAGTCTCCCTGGAGGCTCTCCCTTTCACGATACGCACTCCAGGGAGCACCAGCTCCAAGGGCAGTGCTCACTGCTGAGCACACGGTGGGCTTAATACGTGTTGTAGAATGAATATTTGTTGGCCACTCATATGGAAACAGCCAGACTTAAAGCCAGTCTTCAGCTTCTAAGCTGAGAGCATGATACCAGCTCTGGCTAGCTTTAGAAGCTGCCACTTCTGAGAACACAATCATGCATGACGGCAACTGGCTCCCTTCTCAGGAGGAAGGCTTCCTGCAGCCACATGCGCTAACATCCTCTGACCACGGCACAGCCAGGTCCCACTGACGCCCTGCCTGTGGAGCTGAGCACAGAAAAAACGCAGGGAAACCTGGTCCAAAGGCTCCTTCTGGACGCTGGGTGGGACAGAACCTTGCCAGGCCCCTATGCAGCCTCCTTTCCTTTCCTCCCTGACATTGAACGCTGTAAAAACAGTACTTCCCACTGAAAGGACAGAGAAGAACATGCAGTTGTGTCAAGACAGAACTTGTGCTAGGACAGGCAGGATGCACACTCTTCCCCTCCAACTTCCTAGAGCTTATCATGTACCCCTAGCCCTGACGAGAGCCACTGTGGCCCTCACTCCCCCTCAGCCTGGACTGCAGGCCAGTCATCGCTCCAGTGTGAGGCCTACATGTGGGTAGGGTTCGAGCATGCGGCTCACGGTTGCCTGGGAAGCTCAGAACTACCAAACCGTGTGCGTACGCGATGTCTGGAGACTCAGGCTCCTCCAGCTGCAGCTCTTTACGCATAGTGCCCTCGATCTCCGCCGCAAGGGAGTCCTGGGAAGAGCAGAGACACAGCCTATGAGTGACATTCAAGACTCTGTCTCTACAAGGGACTGAAGCAGCAGCAGGCTTCCCTGACATGACACAGGGTCAGAAGCATCCTCCATGGCTAGCGGCCCAGTCTGGGTAGTTGCCAAGGCACCTTCTGGACCAGAGCCACCGGGCCCTGTGTGAGGACCTAACCGTGGCTGGAAGCAAACCCCATACTTCCCTGGTCAGACCCCAGCTCTGCCTGGGGACCCCAAGAAGGGATGGTAACTTCGAGAGGGAAAGGAGCAAGTTCTGAGTGATGGGATGTGTTTCCAGATGCATCGCACTTACCAAGCATCAGACATGACATCGCAGCCCACACAGTCCACACCATGCTGCTGGACCCCAGGTCGATGGGGTCTCCAAAGCCCCCGCTCACTGGGACCCTGGCACACGGGCTACACCCAGTGAGTGACCTGAGTCCAGGTACTGTCGTGCCTGGGCCCTGCTTTAGTCCTGCCCTAGGCTCTCCCACCAGCCAAGAAAGGCAGTGTCCCCACTACAGGAGCCTATGTTTCTTCCCAAGCACACACCAAACACCTAAGTCCTTGCTAATTTTCTGAGCAATGCGCTTATTTCCTTTCTAACAAGGCTGCGAGCTTGGTGGGCCAGGGAAGGCAAGGCCAGGCCCCAAACTGAGGTCCTGTGACACAGGTTGCCTGACAGATGCCCCACCAGCACCGCTGGCCACCTCCCCACACGAGGACCAGGTGTGTGCAGGAAAGGGGCAGGACTCCCTCAGGGACCACTGAGGGAAGGAGAAAGAAAGTCTGAGCCTCCCAGCAGGACCTCATTGACAACGGACTAGTCTTGCTCTACACAGGCCAACATGGGAACCACCAGCCATGGGGCCGCCAATCACATGGGACATGGCAATGTGACCAAGCAGTAGACTCTCATAGTACTCGATTTTCATGATTTAAGCTGATACAGCCGCTGTGGCCAGTGCTTCCCAGAGGGTGGGGCACGGGGCCTCCCTGGCATCATCTCAGGGCAGCACTGTCTGGAGCAAGGACCAGGTGCAGAGACACAGAAGAGCTGGCAGAGGCTGCAGCAGGAAAGGGCCATGGGCCCACTTCCAATTCTTACAGACCCACTGCATTTTGTAAGTGTCCAGCACAGACTGTGGAGATACAGGCCTACAGTGAGGGGCTCCCCGGGGACCAAGGTCTGGGTAGCCGGTGTGTCTTCCTACAGTGAGGGGCTCCCCGGGGACCAAGGTCTGGGTAGCC